TGTTTCGCTAAGAGGTAGATAAAAACAAAAGTGAAACGGGGCTTCTAGAAGGTCCTTTAGAGGGTGGGGAAGGCTAGGTCGCCCAGTGGAATCCCCAACTACAAAGATGGCCTGAGCAAGCCTGACAGACTGGGCTGGGCCCCAGGGCAAAGGATCACGCTCCATCTCCCCCCCCCCAGGGCCGACCGCCCTGCATGGAGAAGGCCTCAGTGGAGGTAGAGGGTACTCAAGAAACCCTGTTGTAGAGGCCCTGGTTCGGGGACTTCCAAACATAGGAGCTGAGCGAGGGGGTCCAGGCCAGACCCAGAACTCCCCTGCAGCCCGCTCTCTTAACAGAAGCGCCCATTCCTTTCCTCACTGGCTTGTCCACCCAAGCTAAAGCAAGTGAGGGAAGAACACGAATGAGGGAAGGGGGTGAAGCATGGGTGAGGAAAGCATAAAGGGGGTACGGGACGAGGTGACACACCCTGCCAACCCGACCAATATGAGTGGGGACCCTGGCGCGCCTGCCAGATCCCCAAGACAAACCTTTTGTAGCGTAAGCCTCAACTCTCTCTGGCTGGGAGTCATACCCTCATGCATGAGTCCCTACCCTATTTCCAATCTCACTGTAAGGACTGAGGTAGTAGTTCACCCATTCATACTCGTAGCATTCATCATCTGTGATTACGAAAACACACGGGGCTCCAGGAGCTTCCTGCTATTTCAGAAGAACAAGCGCTCTTCTTCTGTCAGTCCAGATCCAACCATCTGAGGCCATTAGCAATGGCGCCGCAGACCATGCAGGGCTGAGGCTTTGACCCATCCACTAGACCCCTCGGGCGCGTGGCCTCTCCCACATCCTGTATTCTCATGGAGATGTATCCAAAGGAAAGGAATAGGGAGTTTCGGCTGGTTTTACTCTACGTCTGAATACGAGAGAAACGTGCTGCACCTAAACCATCGAGTATCTGGAAGGAAAATGGCTTTTACATCCCCTGGCGTTGAGGAATTCTCTTCAATCTTCCTACAATGTCCTGTCAGGCAGAGCTGTTTTCCTTCTATTGGGCTTTCAACAAACAGGCAAAACAGTTGTGTGGTTTGAATGGCAAAGCCACTAGGCTCTCCCCCATGAACAGGGAAAGGAAAGGAGACCTCGCCCCAGGAGAGGGGGAGTAGTTGCCTAAAGGCGCCAGCCAGCTCCACCTGGGGCTCAGTTAGGCTTGGCGCCCTTTGGGGCTGAGGTAGTTAGTAGCACTGATGGTTCCCAGTTTGGCAGAGGGTGTCTGGAAAGGGAGGAGGGGAAGGCACCCTTGAGAGCTAACTGAGGCCCCTCCTCACTGCCAGTCTGCCAGGCCTGAAGGGAATTCCACGGTGCCATCTCTGCAGTGGGGACAGGGAAAGCAGCCCCGAGGAGCCGGAAATAGTCCCTCCTTCCCCAAAGTGCAACAGGGAGTCAAAGGACCCCTTTTTCCTGCTCCCGAGCCCTTGGCAAGCACCACTCCCAAGTCCCACAGGAGCTTAAGGGTGGGTCCTTGTCTTTAGTGTACATGTCTCCAGGCCCCTCCCCCTTGCAGACAGGCCTAGGAGATGTAGGAAGACGGTCGGCCACTGCTTTTGTCTCAGAAACAGTCTCAGCCTCTGTCTGTCTGTCTGTCTGTCTGTCTTTGGCACAAAGGAAAACGGACATACAGAACCAACTGGAGCATCCTGCTCCAGTGTCCTCTGGGTTTTACATGAGGTCTCTCCAGCCAACAGTGAGGCTTGAGTTTTCCCCAAGAGTGGAGAGCTCAGGGAGAAAATGGAAAACAGAAAGGACTAGAGGAGTCAAGGCCACACAACTGCCCTGCCCTCAACTAGGTTCTCTCCTGCCTTGATCCCCTTCAACAACTGAGTCTATAACTCAACTGCAAAGGCAACCAGACCCCAAAGGTGGTTTAAGCCCCCGCGCTGTGAGCGGCAGGCACAGCTTTAAAGTCAGTGAATCAAACCATTTGGCTTTTTTTGTGTTTCAAAGAATCAAAAAGAAAAAAATCCTAGAGATGGTCGTTTCATAAAAACACACGTGTAGCACATACACACACCTCTCTATACACACCTTAGGGCGTGGAAGCAGTTGGTGAAATTGCTTTTTTCACTACCATTCAAATCTCCCAAGTGCTTATTGTAATAGTTGCTTTCTTACCTAGGATGGGGGGAAAGAGGTGATGAGCAGGGCAAAGGGGCTGCCCTAAGGTCTGGCCCTTGGGTTACAGAACAACCCTAGACAGACCAGGCTCCTCCTTTCCGCTGACCTCTGACCCCAAATCAATCTTTCTTTCTAGTAGGCCAACTTTCACAATCTTCCTGATGCACAAGTCCAGCCACAAGGGGAACTCGGGAAACTCTGCCCAGTCCATGTAAGTTTCAGGTCCCTGCCATACCTTCTGATCTCTTCTGGGGCTCAGTCAGTCAAAGGAAGAGGACTTGGGCTGAAAGTGTGAAGGAAGCAGGCCCCCAAGGAATGGAACACCCCAACAATCTCATTTCAGATACTGTGGGATCCCCCCTCCACCCATGATCACTTGAGCCAGTATCAAAGCATGCTTGCTGCAAGAAATCCACTTTAAATCACTGAACGGCCGATGTCTGAACATTTTGCTTCGTGTAGAGAGAAGCACGTAGAGCCAGACGGGAAGTCGGGAGACCCTTTGTGTCTGGGACAGGCCTGTTACCATCCAAAAGACTTTCCTGCTTCTCCTCTTTGGACTAGAGGGTTTAAGGGTTATGAGGGGCTGTCACAGGGGCCATGTGGTAAGATCATACCAAAGCAAACCCTGTCCCAACCATGTTCGCCATCTCCCTTCCCCTCTTGGCTACCCACCACCCTAAATCAAGAATTTCTACCTAACAGGTCCAACCAAATCAACCTAAGGAGACAGGGAGGTGGGGAGGGCAGTCCTTGCCGACCTGCTTGCCTTACAGTCTATGAATGATACAGACTAAGAACAGCAAGGTGGGATGGAAATGAAACAATAACCAAAAAATAAATACGGAAAGCGCTGCATTGAGAAACCAGGACGGTCTCTCGAGGGGGAGAGGCTGGCCTTATCTTTCTCCCATAAGCGGAATCTTGGCTCCCATATGTTTTAAGAAATACAGGTTTTCTTAAAAGGTTATATTTTTTAGTTATTCTTTCTCTCCTCGATAAAACGGAGGCAATATCTTAAAATAACAGCACCACTGGTGGGAAAGCCCAGCTGAGACCCTGTTTCACCACAGGAGAAGAGGGAGGGCGCCCACAGGCCATCTGGTCAGTGGGCACTGCTGTTTGGTCCCCAAGGGGCCAAGCTCTGCTAGATTTTAACTCCTACTTCAAGGCCAGAGGTCAGAGACCAGCAGGGCCCTGGACCCCTCTGGGCTTATCCACTCCTCCCCTGGATCCAGCCCCCATTCCCCACCTTTCCCCACAGGGCCTGTTCTCCAGAGAGCTCCTAAAGAGTTACTGGCTCATGTAAGAAATTATGAAACATAACTTTCTCATTTTTTCTTTTCATTAAAAAAATAAAATATTCAAGACTATCAGCTTCTCTTTTGCTTTTTCTTTTTTATATAAAATATCAGCAAGCCGCAAAGAAAAAAAAATCATAAAGAAAAAAAAATTAAAAACCGGGGTTTAGGGGAACAAAAGGAAATCATTGCTGAGGTAATGTCACACCTTGAGGTAGTTTACTTAGCACAGCATTGCCTGACTCCGCCCACACATCACGGGTGCTTGTCACTGTTGTCCTCAGGAAGAGGGGAGCTCTGCAGGGGCTTTTCCAGTGCAGAGAGGCCCTCCTTTCTTCCCAGCACACTTGATAGTATTTTCCAGGGTAGCTAAAGTGCATCACCTGGCAAATATGCATTACAATCAGTACAGTATTAGGAGGGGAGGCCTAGCCTCACTTAACTGATGGCCACTGTCCTCCATAAGGGCTAAACTTCCAACAGGATCTGATTGAGCCTGGTAAATTAATAAATTAAGTGTGTTCACCCCTTTGTGCACAATGCTGCTGGTACTCTGAAGTGTGTTCTCAGGCATGCCTTTCATAATGACAATTCATGGAGACGTGAGCAGTCAGTTAAATACTCCTCTACAATAAAAACAGAAGCATACTCTCCAATTGACTAAGTCTGCCAGATGAAGGACTTTAAGCTTTGTCAGGAGCTCAAGGTTGGGTTGTAGGTCCCACTGCCACAAGGAAACAGTGCCGTGGCAGGGACCACAATGCCCGCCTCAGCCCTTGTAAGAGCACACGGGTTAGAGCGAGAGCACCTTTGGGCCACTCAACTCCTCCATGGAACTGAGACGTTATCAAAGGGAGCGCACACCCCCTTTCCCAGAGCTCATATATCCAATCATTAAAATAGACTTTAAAAAAATATAAAATTCGCCTGAGAATGATAGGAATCAGGGACAGTGATTAGCCCTCACCCTGCTGAACGCGCGGCACCACCCATATGTACCAGGGCACCATGCAGGACCCACAGGGTTAGATGGGCATAAACACGGGGAATCTTGTGGGGAAGCCCCAGCTGACCAGGGAGAATTTCTGTTGTGCCAATTTTTCTAGATGGCGATCTGTAACAGCTCACCCGAGGGTGCGCTATGTTTTTCTTTTTGTGATGCCAAGGATGGAAACCAGGGCCTTGAACATGCTAGGCAAGTATGCTGACCACTGGGCTCTATCCTCAGCCCAAGGACTCCTTTTAAACGTGGATCAGTATATACATCTTAATCTTTATCTCTCTCCTTCTTCTATCTTGCTGTCCCCACTGGTTGGTTGAGGATCAGGTGTTCTCCAGCGTTAATATTGTAAACAAAGCTGTGTTCCAGCCCCCACCCCACAGTAACAAGGCTAGGACAGTGAAAATGAATACAGCAAGCGGCAAGATATTGGTCAAGGCATTGAGAATGGGAGAAATTTTCATCAATTAACCAAAAAGTCAGGTTAGAAAGATTATGGGGTCAAGAAACAAACCATCCTTTGAGGTTTAATAAAACCTGAAGGAAATTTTATTTCTCTTCCCCACGGGGAGCTGACCCATCTTCCTGAGGGAGACTGGAGACTTTCCTCAAGACAATCCACGTTTAAAAGCAACCCAAGCCACAATTGCAATGGTGACACTCCAAGGGGTAGGCCTTGGTGGCCACCTGGCTGAATTGGGGGCGAGAGATCAGGATTCCTCACTGGAACATTTTTCTCAAGACAGTGGGCAAACCTGATCTCCAGCCAGGCCCCAAGCCCCTGATTCCCACTCATTCTCAGGCCTGCTGGGAGAGTGCACTGGCCCTCCACACTCCAGTTCCGCGTTCTGCCTGCTGATCTGGAGCCAACGGAACAGGAAAGGGCAGGCGGTCACTTCCTCCGTGCCTGGGCCTGGCTGTTCTGTCCCTTCTGGTGCTGTTGCTTAACCTGAGCCAGGATGTCTCGGATCTTTCGCTGCGCCATCTGCATTGAAAAGAGACAAGGAGAGGGAGGATGAGGCTCCAAGGAGAGGCTTTGCATGCCAGCAACAGAAAGGGCAACTGCAGCTCAACAGCCTCGACTGAACGGGAAAAACCCGAAGGAAGGGAAGGAGGAAGAAAAGGGAGAGGGCTCATTGGCACTGATGGTTTCACGTAGATTTCCAATGCCTTCTTTTGCTGAAATACACTGTCAATGCACCTGGCACCAGGTGAGCCGAGATCTACTTCCATTCTTAAGGCCTTATTTCCCTCATTTGAATAATGCGATCTTGTGGGGCTTGAACGAGTTACTAGACACAAAGCTTGTGAGACAATGCTGGGCCCAGCAAAAAACTTAGCTATCATTTCCATGGTTCTCACTGTTTCTCAAAGATCTTAGTAGAGAGCTACCAACACCAGGGGGCACAGGAGAGAGGGTGTGTGGGGTTGGGCTGAAAGTATGAGTCCAAACTACACTATCGCTCCCCAGGGCCACAACTCACTGACAAAGATGTAACACTGGGCTGATGTTTGAGGGTTTAAGCTCTTTGTTGCCAAGCAGTGGTGGCACAGGCCTTTAACCCCAGCACTTGGGAGGCTAGAGGCAAGCGAATTTTTTTTTTTTTTGATTTTTGAGACAGGGTTTCTCTGTAGTTTTTGGTGCCTGTCCTGGAACTAGCTCTTGTAGACCAGGCTGGCCTCGAACTCACAGAGATCCGCCTGCCTCTGCCTCCTGAGTGCTGGGATTAAAGGCGTGCGCCACCACCGCCCGGCGAGGCAAGCGAATTTTTGTAGGTTCAAGGCCAACATGAACTACAGAGCTAAGTTCCAGGACATCTAAGGCTACACAGAGAAAACTCTGTCTCGAAAAACAAAAACCAGCCTCCCCACCCCCCAAAAGAGAGCCCCTTTGTCAATCCCCTTCCTCCCCTTGCTTAGGATCAACCAAATTTGAACCTGAGATGGGCGCTGCTTCCCTGGCTTCAGAGCCACTGTGACTTGTGGGAAAGGGACAAGATTTACAAATGATGCGAAGCCAGGTTCAGGGACATGTCTGTAACCCCAGCTTTCTGAGGGGGGAGGGTGAAAGGGGAAAGGGGAGGAAGGGGAGTGGGGAAAAATATAGCAATAAAAACAGTTTTTAAAAAAGTAAAAAAGAAGAGAAAGCTGAAGCAGGCCAGAGGGCAAAGGGGAAGCAGGAAGAATCCGGGTTTTACAGTCATCATTCAATGAACAAAGTTGAACGCCTTTCCCATCCAGTGTAAAAGGGGTTCAGGACAACCAAGGACACTATGAACACTTAAAAAATAAATACAATCCTTATATATCGTACATAATATAACTGGAAACTATTAACTTAATTTTTTAAACTTTTGAATTGTGTGCATTTGCACATTTAATTCAGAGGACAATCTGCAGAAGCTGGTTCTCTGCTACCAGGATGTGGGTCCCGGAGACCTCACTCGGGTGTGTGCTCGGTGAGCTTTTACCCATGGAGCCACTGAAGAGTGAAAGTGGAAAACAGCCTCACATCCACTCCTCAACCTGAACCAGCCCAGCCCAGCACCGAGCAGGCCGAGGACCTGTGCAAGTAACACAGATCAACCTGGACAGCCCTCTCTCTGCTCCTGGCTCCTGAGTCCTCTGGGGGCAGGGGAGCATGGTACATACCTGGCTGGCATAGAAGTGCCCAATGATCTTAACAATGACTTGGTCGTTCTCATCCGGGGTCTGGTCTCTTGGCACTACCACTTCGGCAGCAGTCAGGTTCTGCAGCTCATTCACCTAGGGGTGGGACAGCCAGAAGCTCAGAGCTCCAGCAATGAATGTACAGGGGGTGGAAGGCAACTCAGCGGGAGAATGCTGGGACTGGAGGGTGGTGAGAGTAGGTGAAGGGCACTGAGCCTGGAAGTAGAACCGAGTCAATGGACAAATGAGGGTAAAAGTGAAAAGACTAGACAAAAGGTGGGTTGTAGAGGCCAAGCCTAGCGCCTTCAGCCCCCGTCTTACCGTTTTGCCGCCTTTGCCGATGACCCGGCCAGCTGCTGAAGCTGGCACCCGTATGTGGGTCTCCAGCTTTACCTCTTCCTTGGGACCAAAGAAATTCTCTTCTTTTAGTTTCCCATAGATTCTTCCCTGAGCCTAGAGAGGAGGCCATAGTTACAAGCAGTCATGTATCTGGGTGAAACACCCTAGGCTCCAGCCTTTCCCACCCAAGTGGCCAGAACTGTAGCCTAGGAGGACCAACCAGCTATAAAGCAGGTGGTTACAGAGCCCTCTTGGGTGATTTCTATGGTTCCCTGATTACCTGTAATGCTGGAGACCCAAGAGAAAATGAACATCCCAGCACCACACAGGCAGGAGGATCACTACAAGTTCATAGCCAATCTGGTCTGCAGAACTGGCTCTGGGCCAGCTAGAGTTACATATGGAGACCCTGCCCTAATCTCTTCCCACCTCCCTCCTAAAGGAGAACCGAATAAACACTTCAAGGGATGCACGACACTTACAGGTTCTGGGGTGACTTATGTGATGTGGCAATAACTAATGCATCATGACATGAATGGCAACAATGACTCTGGGTACCTAGAAAGTACCGTCTCGAGCCTCAGAGACCAAGTGAAGCAGGAGCAGCACAGACAAAAAGGAAACGGCGAGCTGCCATCAAATGCAAACACCCCAGATTCCCTTCTTTCTCACATTCCTGAGTGGGCATGTGGAAGCGAGGAAGGAAGTGGAAAGGAACAGCGATTAAGCTTGATGGTGCTTTGAAAGCAGCTGTGCAGCTGTCTATCCCGCAGAAAAGACTAGAAGCCATGACAGACCCAGGCTTTTTCCTGCACGTGTTAAGTTCCCAACCTTGGTTACTCTGTATCCATCGTGGAAAAGCAATATAAATCAAACCTTGAATTGAGCCTCTGGGGGTCCAGTGATGATAACCATTCGAACTTTGGAGTCAGGTGTTTCCGGTGGAGCAATCTATAAAAGACACGGTTGGTCAGATGGGGGTGCTTCCAGAGGAAGGCATCCCATCCCCTCTAGCTCCCATTGCCCATTCTGAGAGGGGAAGAACACAAAGCCTCAAACCCAAGTTCCTGTCTGCACAAGCGCCCTGTGAAGACATCATGAGCAGCGGGCCAGAAGGACCTGCCTCAGAGATGCTTCCTCAGAAGGGCTTCCCCGCCAACAGCCCCTCTGGGGGTCTTAGCAAAATGCTGCCAAGAGTCATGTGATGACTAGGTAGAGAAGGTTGTGGCTACACCTCTCTTGGGGTCCAGTGGCAAACACAGAGCTTTAAATGCCATTTAAAGGAAACCCATGAATCTGGACGTGTGAGATGATCAGCACTGGTTTCCTGCTGAGATCCCCTCGCTCTTCTGAATCCTGCATGCAGGGAGGTAGGACAACCAGCAGAGACATACATCAACCACCTGTTCCCTACAACTCATACCAGGAAACTGACCCGCTGGAGTTCAGCAGGGGTGGGGCTATTGGTTTTGAAAGGGTCTGGGACAGGGTTCATTCTACTTTGTGGAAATTTCAACCTTCTGTCTAAGTAATACCGTCTTTCATGTAGCCTGCAAACTTCAAGTACTGAAGACACCCACAAGGGACTGGGCTTTCATTCCCCCAAAGTGTGAAGGGAGCTGGAGTACATACTAGTCTTGGAAGAACTCTGAACAAATCACCTTAATGGAGGCACTGGCGAACCGCGAGAGCTGTTTGATGTGCTGTCCCTTCTTGCCGATGATGGCACCCACAGCCTGGGCGGGGATGAACACCTGTACCATCTCCTGCTCGGGAGCCTGCTGCCAGGACAGAGGAGTCCTTACCAAAGGACCAGGGAGTGGGGCGAGGCGGGACCCAGGAGTCCCTCCACCTTCCACAGGCTCAAAACAACAACGACAACAACAAAAACCCTATGTGGGTACCCAGCTGCACCCTGGGCTACAGAAAGATAGCATGAACTCTTTTTAGCTCTCTTCCAACTAAGGGGAAGCCCCCAGTAATAAATCCTTTCACCTACCATGAAGGAGCTATAGGGAGCAGTCCCAGTGACGCTGCTGGGAGGTGGTGGGACGGCACTAGACGAGGCTGGGAAGAGACCTACAGCAGCCAGGTTGAGACCAGGGATGAGGTGGGACTGCAACTGGATAGAGGGGAGACACAGGTCAGCGTATCCACAGCTTATCATGCAGGCCACATGATCTTATCCCAAGTACGCCTGCTCTATGAGGTCAGCTTCCTGAGGGGCCTGCTCGGCCCTGGTAGTGCCTCTGGCTAACTTCCAAGAGCCAGCACCACCAGAGCAAATCAGCTCCCCACCGGAGTTATTTGCTTTTGTCTAAAAACCTGCCCAGCACTGTGGCTTCTCTTGAGCCATGGAGATGTCTTCACTGGACCAAACTGTAATGTTCAAGCAGGAAGACAACCAGCAGGTTCCCTAGTTATTTCTGCCACATTAATGAAAACAAAACAGGCTCCTACCTGAGAATGTGATGCCCCTAAATGAGAAGCCGGGACAACTTTCCCTTTGATTCCTGGGGCCCAAGTAGTTCTGAACCTTTCTGCTAAGTATACCATCCCTAGTTTCCTTTAAAAGACCAAGATGGGGCTGGGCACGGTGAAAATAAAATTCCAGCATTGGGAGACAGAGGCATATACCTCTGCGAGTTAGAGGCTAGCTCTATTATCAAGTTACAAGCCAGCCAGGGTTACACACTTAGACTGTGTCTCAAACAAGATGAGATGGTGACAAGCAAAATCAGATCATAGGGACAGGAAGATGGCTCATGCACAAGAGCACCGAGGACATAGTGAGAATGCCAGCGCCCATGGAAATGATCCTATCTGTAGCTAGCCCAGTGGGACTTGGGGGACAGAGACAGGACTGCTGGGTCTTGCTGTCAATTAATTCCAGGTTTGTAAATGACTGTGTGTAAATAGAACAAAGGGACGAGCGATAGAGCAGGACACCTGATTTCCTCCTCTGGCCTCTGAACACACACACACACACACACACACACACACACACACACAAATAAAAACTCAGCACTTGGTAAGTCAAGGTAAGAGAACTGAATTCAGTTCTAGCCTACATACTTAAGTCCTGTCTCAAGGGAAAAAAAAGGTTGAAATTATGACCCTTCTGTCTACTATGGTACACAACTTTTACTGGAAAGGATCACAATATCAAGATCAGATTGGCTAAGGTATAGAAATTCATGAAACCTAAGATTATGCCCTCAACCCTACCTCAAGAGGCAGGTGACCAGCCCACTTCCGGCAGAGTGTCTGCCTACAATGTACAAGACTTCATCTCCAGCACCACCACTGCCACCGAGACAGAAATGTGTACGAGTAAGTCTAAAAGCACAAACTGAGGGGCTCGAAAGGTGCCTCAGTAGCTAAAGGCACTGGCTACTCTTCCAAAGGACCCAGGTTCAATTCCAAGCAACCACATGGTGGCTATGGCTCACAACCATTTGTAATTCTGCTTCACCAGGGAATCTGGCCTTGGGATGCACATGGTGTCCTGACATACATGTAGGAAAAACAGGCATAAGAAAGTGCTGCCCTTGCTAAGTTCAGAGAAGGGCACTGAAGACGGTGTACCGGGATGTACCGGAATGTAGTTTGGAGGTATGGCTTTTGCCCATCTCCTGGGCCCACATTCAACTCCCAGCAACAAAGACAGGAAGGTACCACCTGTCACTCACACTCATGGCCGCTACATCGTTCTCGTAGGCCTCTCGAACTTTCTTCATGATCTCTTGCTCAGCCCTGCAGCAGTTCTCAATGGCACCCTTCACAGTGATGGTCCTCTCAGGGTTATACAGAGTGAGATCCTGGAGCCTGGCAGGAGAGCAGGGCAATGCTAAGCAGTGGGCAATGCAGGACTGGGACCAGGTCCCAACTAGGGACAAACAAGGTCAAAAGAACCAGCTGAGTTACAGGGCCAGCATTTCTAAAGGTTGTCTAACTTATCTCCAGCCTCAGGTAGCCAGGGCAAGGACTGGACAACCAAGAACAAAACCCCAGACACGCAGAGTGGCTGCAGGTGGCCCCTTGTGCTCTTCTGCAGAAGAGGTACCCTACAAACAGGTTAGTCTCTTTAAAAGGATAGAGAGGCAGGGTGCTTACAAACAGTTAGCCCGTGCCTTTCACTGGTTCTCCAGAGACAGACCAGCGCACCCACCCTAAAAAGGACCAAGGTTTGTGTACCACTCACAGTGGCAGATACCTAAAGCTCACACCCTAGTTGCAGGCTTTTCTGGAGATGCCCTGAGGTAGACTGTGCCAAGAGGAGGGGTGCTCCAACCCTTGAGTTAGAAAAGGATGCCATCACATCTTCGATTTGCCTTAGGCCAGCAGAAGCAGTGCCCAATTTAAAAGGCTCAGTGATGAAATACCCTGGTAGCCCAGGCCCTGTGCTCAGCACTTCTGAAAAGAGAACCAGTGAAAGTCTTACGATGAGATGGTGATCTTTGTTTCTGTGTCCTGCTCGACCTTCTTCAAGTTCCTGCCTTCCTTGCCAATGAGTCGCCCCACAAAGTTATTATGGGCCAGGATCTTCAGGGGAACCTCATCTGCCCTGGGGAGAAAATGGGGGAAAGACCAGTCAATAACGTCAACGAAGATTCAAACAAGATGGGGGTCATTCTCAACTGACAAACCCAGGAAGAACCACCAATCAAGTGTCAGAGGACTATAAAACCCAGTAGATCAATGATCTACAGAGAAATGGTCAGGGAGGATGGACTGAGGAAGGCAGGATGAAGTTTGGGAGCCAAAGCTTTATGTATTTTAACTGTGATCATGGTTTCAACAGGTACTGACATACACAAATCGAAACTCAAATTGCACACCTGAGAAACCAAACTACACAGGAAAACAAGTGGAATAGGGTTTGGGGGTTTAGCTCAGTAACTTAGCTGAGCCATCTGCCCCCAAGGGGAAGGGGGCTGAGGGAGCACAAAGGAAGTGGAAACAATACACAATTAAGCCAGATATGGTGGCATGTGCCTACAGTCCCAGCCACTCAAGACTGAGGCTGGAGGATCCATTGAGCCCAGGAATTCTAGGCTAACCTAAGGCAATATGTCCATAGATTATTGTACTAATTGAATCCAATAAAGCTGTATCAAGAAAATAACAACAAAGTTGGATGGGGGTGGCAAATCCCTTTAATTCAGCACTTAGAAGACAGAAGGTTCTGAGTTACAGGCTAGCCTAGTCTACAGACAGACTAAATTCTAGAGCTAGAAACTAGTGTCTTAAAAAAGGAAGGAAGGAGGGGCTGGAGAGATGGCTCAGCAGTTAAGAGCACTGCCTGCTCTTCCAAAGGTCCTGAGTTCAATTCCAAGCAACCACATGGTGGTTCACAACCATCTGTAATGGGGTCTGGTGCCTTCTTCTGGCCTCCAGGCATACACACAGACAGAATATTGTATACATAATAAAAATAAATAAATTTTAAAAAAAGAACAACCCTATCTTGAAAAATAAGAAAAACAAAAAAAGCCCAAACAAACAACGGAAATATTGTGGTGATGCACAACTATTAGCAAGACCAAGTCCTAACCTGGACTGTGGAAGACCCTACTCTCACTTTTAAGAGATGGAGAGTGCGAGAGAGAGAAAGCGACAGAGACATAGAAAATGTGTGAAGGGAGGCAAAGGATCCCTTGGAGCTCAAGTTCCTAGTGTATGTAAGCTACCCAAGATGAGTGGTGGGATCTGAATTCTCGTCCTCTAATAGAACAGTATCTCTTAATGGCTGAGGCATCTCTCCAACTCCAGAGCCATTCTCAAGAAGCAAAAAAAGAAAGTCATGGTAGTAAGCAGCATTTCAGCCTGACCCAATGCACATTCACCAGCACACACTCAATCTACATAAATCAAATGAACACACATACACATATATGAACATAAAAACACTGAGCACATTAAAATTTCTAGATGATTATACAAGGGGAAGATCTCATTCTAGCTTATGTGTAGTTTGTGACTCTGTATGGCTGCTATTAACAATTGCAATGAGGCTGGGGCGTGGCTAGGCAGCCAAGCGTCCGCCTGGCACGTGTGAAGCCTGGGGCTTGGCTCTTACGTTTTGGTGTCCTTTGCCTCCTTGTGCATTATCTCCAGGATCATCTTACAGGCCGAGGAGCAGCCTTCAGGGGTGGAATGCACACTGATGGCCTTTTCGGCAGCCCCCGCATTCTCCTTCCTATGCACGTCTATCCTGAGGACCACAAGGAAAGAGCTGGTTAGTTTGTCTTCAATAACACCAACTCCCCCACCTCTTCTCAATCAAAGGCATAAAGAATCCACTTTCAGCTGGGCAGTGGTGGCACACGCCTTTAATCCCAGAATTTGGGAGGCAGAGGCAGGCGGATCTCTGTGAGTTCGAGGCCAGCCTGGTCTACATGACCTAGTTCCAGGCAGGTTCCCAACCCTGTTTTGAAAAACAAAACAACAACAACAACAACAACAACAAAAAGGAGAATCCACTTTCCTTGGAATGGTGCCTGTCAAGAATAGAACCAGGAAAGTAAAGATGGAGCCAGGAAATCATGGGCAGGTGTCGTTCTGCCTGCCTCCTTCAGGTGACTGGAGAGGACAATGCAGTCGACCTCACAGCTGTCTTGTGCGAACACTCCCACAGGCATGTGTGGTAGTGAAGTTCTTTTCCCCTCCAACAATGCATCAGGGAGACACACTGCCCAACTACAAGCAAATGAGTGATTTTCTATGAATATGGACACAACCTAAGCTGTTCTTTCTCAAAAGCACCAATCGTCAAAGATAAGGGAAGCAGGAGACCGCACTACAGTGTAAGACATAAGATAAAGGGCTGAGACTTTAGCCAAGCTGTGGTCACCATCAAGGATGCCCAAGGACTGAGGACTCAACTCACAGGACTGGATTTCCTGGAGCAGCAACTTGCTATGAGGAATTATGGAACTCTTCCTGTTAATGAAAGTATATGGACCAGAGACCCATTCCGTCTCGTTTGCCCAACCTCCAGGGAGGTAATACTGTCAACAGGGACCACCCATTTCCCAAGCAACAATTCCCAGGAGAGAGATGCTGATGCTCCAATCAGCTGCTTTCCATGGCCTCTCCAGGTCCTGGTCTGTTCCCTTCCCAGTACTCACTTGGATTGAGTCTGTTTTGTGATGTTACGGATGGTGGCGCCCTCCTTGCCAATGATAGCGCCTACGTACTGCGTGGGCACCAAGAGTCGGAGGGGGATGTCTACTTGCTGCTGCTTGGCTGGAGCGCCTGCTGCCACAGGTGATCCTTGCCGGGGTTGGCCCCGAGAGCCAAAGCCTCCACGGCGTCCATTCTCAGGACCCTGTGCTATCTGCTCATCAGGTATGTATGAGACTTTCAGGGCATGGTTCTCCAGTTGATGGCCGTTTAGTTTCATAATGGCTCTGGGGACAGAGAGGAAGTTCAGTGGTCACTCCAACCATATCAATCACATCCAGTGCTTCTTTCCACAAAGAAACTACTTGGTCACAGCTAGGATACACTGGGGACCACACTGAAGATGGGAAAATAACCCTGTCTGCCACCCCACCATCTCTAGGCAACCTTCCAGTCTACAAGAGAGAAGACACTAAGGGAAAAGCCATCAATACAGCAAGGTCTCACTCATGCTTTTCCATTCAAGGCTGCTGGAAAGTGTTGAGGCAAGAAAATAAGTTTAAAATGAGGGAAAACCCTGTGCCAATCAGAGCTATAAAGAATCAAAGTATACAGCATGTAGTTTGCCCACTCCAGGGAGTGAGAACTGTAAATGCTGAACCTACAGGGGCTGGGACTTATGGCGGTGGTGATGAGGACTTTTGGGAGGGGACGTTAGCTGGGCTCCTAACCATCCTGCACTACATACGTGATCCAGAAGCAGCAACCCACACCTATAATCCCAACGTTCAGGAAATAGAGGGTAGGAAAATCAGACCAGGATAGACCTTGGCTATGTAAAGTGAAATGGAAAATGGAGATCATTATCGTCTCAAAAAAGAAACACCTTTGACCCTTCTTTTTTGAACAAGGCAGTTCCTCCCCATAACCAAAAGATGGCACTATCAACACATACAGGACCCTGCAATCCAGGGTGCCCAGAGACAACCTTCTACCCCTAGTCGCCCCCTCCTTTCAGTTGATTTGGTGAGATCCTAGGGTCAGCTAAACGAGCATCAGATGCCAGCTGAGGATTCCAGCCCACTGGACCTACCCATGGGGGTCTAAGTAGAAGACCCAACTCCAGCACCCCCCAGAGACCCCCAGTCGCACTGCAGAGGTACTCACTGCCTGGTCTGCTCCCGGTTGGAGTAGGTGACGTTGACCACTGCCGTTTCACTTTCTGTGTTCACTGCAGAGACAACGGGCCACCAGAGTTAGAGTTCTGCCAACAAACTCCAGCCTGTTTGTAGCAGTGGACTACCTACCCTGAGCTTAGAATATACCCAAAAAACAAGTGGAAATAATCCGCAGACCTTCTCCAGGGATACCAAAGAAGACAGGCGAAGAAGACAGGCTAGCCAAGCCTTTCCAGTCTTTCAGAAGCAGCTATAGCATAGCAAGGCCAACACCCACCCCACACACATTCCCACTCTGGAGGCAAACTTACCCCGGAAAGTTCAATTAGCAAAAAGACAATGGATGAGGTTAGCCATTTACAGAGGTAACTGTCAAGAAAAAGGCCTGAGTCTCCTTCCCTCAATGGCTGAAGAGACCTGGGACTACCTAAATCCACTTTATAAGTTTGCATATCCAGAAAGACATATTTTCCAGAGAAGGAATTCCAGACTCCAGTATTCTAAACACCCTGAGAGTGGACACGGACACACACACACTGGGCCACCATAGTTATGGGTCAGTAGAAAGAATCCCACCCAAGGGCTTGGATTTGTTGGTTATTACCTTTTTTTAAAATTAATTTTGTGCTACTGGAAATTGAACCCTTGCACATTGGCCTACACCCTCAACCTTTGACTTTGTGAGACAATGTCTTGCAGCTCACTGTGTAGCTAAGGCTAACTTTTAACACACCAGCAGGACTAAGGCCAACCCACTTCAGTGATGGGAAGTGTTATTTCATTAAAAAGGAGAGAGAGAGAACAAGACAGAGGGAGCTCAGGCCAAGTGTTATGGTGCACATCTGCATTCTCAGCAGTTGGAAGGAGAAAGCAGAAAGATGGGCATTCGAGACTGCACTGATAAAGAAGGCTATGTCTCAAAAGCTACCTCAGCAATGGTTCAGTGGCTAAGAGCCCCCAGGACCTGGTTCAATCCCAGAATCCACACAGTGGTTCTGTCCTCTTCAGACACTGCACACACATACTGCAGATACAGAGATGGAGGCAAAACACCCAGACACAAAAAGTTAAAAATAAATAAAAATAAAAACAAGGGACTGCTGAGATGGCTCAGTGGAAAGAAAAGAGGCACCTGCTGCCAAGTCTGAGAACCTGAGTCCCATCTCTGGGCCCCAAGTTGTCATCTGACCTCCACAAGGTGGCCATCCCATGTATATTATGTGCACACACAAGCACAATAAATGTAAATTTTTTTTTAAAAAAAAAATAAGGGGGCCTCTTATCTGATAAGGATAACTGAGCAGTTAAGAGCACTTGCTGCTCTCCTCTCAGAGCTTCAGTCCCAGCTCATTCCCTCCTGGCTCCAGGAGGCAGAGGCAGGCATATCTATGTTTTCAAGTCCAGCCTAGTCTACATGCAAGTTCCAGGCCAGCCAAGGCTACATAGTGTGACCCTGTCTCAGATAAACTAAAATAAGTAAATAAAACTTTTAAAAAATTTTAAAAAGAAAGTGACATTTGAAGCTGAGCATGGCCATGCACACCTGCAATTCCAGCACTCAGAGGCTGAGGCAGGAATAATGACTGTCACGATTCAAGACCAGCCTTTGCTACACTGTAAAATAGGCCAGCCTGGGCTACAGAGAGACAGTCTTTCTCAAATAAACCAGTAACTGACAGTTAAAGCTGGTGCAGCAGAATGCACTAGAAATTCCAGCAAACTGAGAAGATAAGAATGGCCGGATCTCCTGGGCAGCCTGGGCCAATAGTGAGTGTGAGGCCAGCCAAGACTACACAGCAAGGCTCTGCCTTAAAAAGAAACCATAACATTTGAGCTAGGTGTGGTGGTGCAGACCTGCCATCCCTAAACAGGATCGTGTCTAAGGCCAGCTTGGGCTGGCGAGAGCCTTGAGCAGATCTGTGAGATCCCTTTAACGATTTTAAATTATTGTGTGTGCGCATGCGTGTGTATGTGTTCAGATGTGGAGGTCAGAGGGAGTCAGCTCTCTCTATCCGTCATGTGAGTTCCAGGGACAGATTAAGGTGTCAACCTGACGGAGCCTATTCCTTTCAGTGGCAGCTGGCTGCCTGCTCAGTGTGGCCCCCAGGTGTGTCTAACTCAGGAGTTCAGATGAAAGCAGGACTGGGCAATAGCTCTCAGCGAATCCCGCTCCGTTCTGGCATTTAAGATGAAAGACAAGTCAGAGGATTAGAGCAGAGAAAACGGCACTTCACTGCTGAGCAGGCCACGCCTGTAATCATCTGTCAGCACACACAGCTTGCCTCTTCCCACAAAGAATTTAGAAATGAATATTTATACCCCAGACAGCAATCGCTGCTCCTTAAAGATCTTCAAAAGTGGGCTGCAGCACTAGTAGCAAGAAAGAAATGCACCAGCCTAAAGCGGCCACAGGGGGCACTCGCTCACGCACTCTCCCTGACCGCACAGACTGGAATATTATTTAGTCATAAAAAACTCAAATCCCATCATCTGTGACTAGATTAAATTAAACAAGCCAGGTCCTAAAGGACAAGTCACCACACACTCTCAGGAATGTGAAGGCGGAAGGGGGGAATGGAAAGGAAAGGGGAAGGAAGAAAAGAAAAGGAGGGGCAAGGAGAGGAAATAGGGGGAGAGCAAAAGGTGAGGAAATGGGAAAAAGATAAAAATACTGGGAGAAGGTGAACTCGAGAATAGAAGGTGGGGGAGCAACAGGGAAGGGAAGCCTGGTGTAGGGCCTGGGTCTGCCCTTGTTCCTGGGGTTTATCTGGAGGATAGTTTCTGGTCAGTAAGCTCAAACATCCTGTTTGTTCCTGTGCTCCCCCTGCCCCAGCCTGGTGATTAGCTGTAGGGCATTGTTGACTCCATCTTTGGTGTGGTAATTTCCCACCTGCCTGGGGGGAAATCCTTGTGCAGCAGCTAGGTGTGTGATTTACCCAAAATTGAATAAATGGCTTTCTGCTGATCTCCTTTCCAATGACCCAGGTCTCTTGGGTGTTCTTTCAATCTCCAGGCCCTTGCCCAGCTCGTGTACGGTACAGTGTACCAAGGAAGTAACACAGAATCAGATATTACAGCCTGGGGAGGGGCTGACTGATGGACAGGAGACTGAGTCCAGGATGCTTCTTACACATGCATCACATGGCACCCATTAACACGCGATGTGTAAGGAGCCGTCAGGACATCGCCATTATGGCACTGGCGGTTCTGCAGCTTTGGAGGTAAATGCATTTGCACAACTGAGCCTTTGTCCCTGGCCAATCCCGAGGCCCCGGGCATCTGCAAAATGGTATTCACCAATCAGGACAGTATCCGAGTCCCTCCACCCTAGAAAAGCAGCTGCCTCTGGGCTTTCCTCCTCTCTTGCTCTCCTGCTCTCTCTCGCCTTCTCTCCCTCTCTCACTCTCCTGCTCTCTCTCTCTCCCTCTCTCGCTCCCCACTTTCCCTTCAACCAAGAGGCTCCAATAAAGTGTGATTTGGGAAGAATCCTCAACTCGTGGTCGTTCTTGCTTGCTGGTCAAGCAGCGCGCCACAGTGATGCTCTTATGTGTTGGCTTAAAAAAAAGTCTAACAACCCTATGTCCAACCAAACATCCCAAGCCCATTTTCTCTGCAAGAGTTTACACTCCTAGAAACAGAAGACTCTCAAAATCGTGGCAAATTTGTATGACCTAGAATTCCTATTACTCTTCCCTTTGTGGGCACATCGGTCAAAAGATTTTGCCTACACAAACCATTAATGAATAAACCCTGTTTGTTTGGGGGGGTAAGGGTCAGAGTTTTTTGGTTTCTCTGGATAGCCCTGGCTGTCTTGGAACTCGCTCTGTAGAAACTCAGAGATCTGCCTGCCTCTACTTCCCGGGTGCTGGGATTAAGGTTGTGCACCACCACTGCCCACTTGATGTGAGGACTTTTCAAACAACTTTTCAGTTCCTCTGGAAGTGGAATTAGATCCCTATGGGCCGCCTTTGGGTGCTGGAAATCAAAGCTGGGTCCTCTAGAACGGGCAGCCAGTGCTTTTAATCATTTGAACCATCTCTCCGGCACTCTCCCGACTCCCTCCCCAAGCTCCTTTTATTTTATGCTGCTTCGCCAAGACAGAGTCTCTCTGTGTAGCCCTACTTGTCTTGGAACTTGCTCTGTAGACCAGGATACACTCAGGAAAGTTTTGCACCCAGCAGAGATTAAAGGTGTATACTACCACACCCAGGTGTGGTGGCGCAGGCCTTTAACCCCAGCATTTGGGAAGCAGAGGCAGGTAGATCTGAGTTCAAGGCCAGATTGGACCACAGAGCTAGTTCCAGTAAAACAAAACAAAACAAAAAAACCAAAGTCTCTCCACCTAATCCAGGAGCTTGGTAATTAGGTCGAACAGGCCTCAAACTCAGAGATTCTCCTGCCCCTGCTGCTTAACAGCTGGGACTAAATGCACCAAGCCCTACAAATGTCCATTCTTAAACTTCTACTGAAATACCGTGATTCCTGTTAGCCTGGGACTCAGACTCCTCAGCAAAAAAGATGATGAAGTCAGGTGTGGTGGTCCACATCTTTAATTCCAGCACTGAGCCAAGGCGGGCAGATCTGAATTCAAGGCCAGCCTGACCAACACAGCCTGCCACACAGCAGCCCAGTCCCATGGTTCCCCACACAGCAGGGAACATGCTGGGGCCAGATGTCCAGCATTATCTCCTGTACACCACTCTGTCTGGATCTTCCCACTGGATCTGATGCTGATGCAATCCAAGTCCTTGTACACTCCCTCATCCCTTGACCCAGTCTTACCTTGTTCACAGTTCTCCACCGTACCGTACTGGGCCAGCAGGCTGTCCAGCACCTGGAGAAGTAGAAGAAGGCTGTTTCCCAGGGCCCGGACACCCCTTGCCCTAAAGTTCTGGGACACTGGCAGGAACTAGACATTGGATCACATTTCGCCTAAGGTTCCAACGCCTTAGACTCCTGCTGATGGCAACCCTAGTGTTTGCAAGAATATCCCTGGCTCTAGGTTAAGGAACTTTGTAAAGCAAACTCAGACTTCTGCTATCAGAATTCTAAAATTCAGGAGAAAACTTCTACCTCCTTAATGCCTCTTGCCCAGAGTATGAGCACAAATGAGACTCCACCCAACACCCAGGGGAGACCTCTCTAGTCGTCCACTAACTCAGCAGGACACAGTCCCTGCCCTGTCTCTGCACTCCACCCCACTGGGCACTTCCACAAACACTTACTTCCCATCGGAGCTGAGGTGGAATATTTCGGATCTGAATTTTCCGACTCCTGAAATAAAAGTAAAAAAAAAAATTAGGAAAATCCCAGATGATTTAGGCCCCCATGACCTGGCAGTTTCTAACCCTTGTCCCAGCTTGCTATCTCACCAAAATCGTAGAATGGCAGTTTCCTCCACAGGGCCAGGGACTGAACTCAGGCTAGATTTCCCAGCCCTTAAAATAGCAACCGAAAGCCAGGCGATGGTGGTGGCACACGGCTTTAATTCCAACACTCAGGGAGGCAGAGGCAGGTGGATCTCCATGAGTGTGAGGCCAGCCTGATCTACAGAGTGAGTTCCAGAACAGGCAGAGATACACAGAGAAACCAGGGTGGGGGTGGGGAGCTGGGAAGCAACTGAAGCCAAGTGGTGGTGGCTCACGTCTTTAATCCCAGCACTTGGGGAGGCAGAGGCAAGTAGATCTCTGAGATCGAGGCCAGCATGATCTTCATAAAAAATTGGATGACAGCCAAAGTATACAGCGAAACCCCAACTTAGGTAAACAAAACAAAACCAAAAAGAATAGCAACCCAATAGGAATGCAGACTTTAGAGTGGGGTAGACCTCATTTTACAGACAAACTACTAATAGGATCATGGGGAGGAACGCGGAACCAGATGCTCTCAGCATAAAGGCAGCAAAGGACTACATGATGTTTTGCCATTTGCTATAGCTTAGCTTTCCCATGTAGTGTCCAGCACTACGGCAAAGTCAAGGGGCTGAAGAAATGGTGCTGGGGACTCTTACAGGACCTGAGTTTGATCCCTAATGTCCATGTGAGGCAGATAGCGACTGCTTGGCACTCCAGCTCGAGGGGGATCCAACACCTTGGCCACCTCAGGCACCAGACTCACAGGAACATACTCACACATACATAGCAAAATAATAAATAAATCTCAAGTCAAGTCTGACTGTAACTATTAATTTTTTGACTGGCACCTACTTCAAACTCTACTTTGCTCCTGAGGTTGGGGTTGTGGGATGAAAAGGTGGAATGCCTGGGGCCCAGGTGCTCCCCTGGATTAGGGGAAACAATATATGCCAACAATTACAGAAGATAATACAGTGGGTAAGCCCTTGGCACCGCGAGGGACCTAAACCATTTATTAGAACTGATCTTTAGAAGATTATTTAACTTCTTTGAGGCCCAGTCTCCCCTTTTGCACAACAGGGATAATACCTATTCACAGGTGGGAGGTGGCACTAGATAATATTTGTAAGGACTTGGAGTAAATCCTTAAACTGTAACAATAGATCTGTGAGCAGGAGAAGTCTCCGGAGTGAGACTCTGCCTTCTCTGCCTGGTGACTACACTATCCTTACTCCATCCCAGCTTTCAAAGGGCTGTGAAAAGGAAGTATTTCCCTAGAGGATCACTTTCAGGTTCAGGGCTAACTCCCAGAGCAACTGCTCACCACCCAAATCAATACCTTAATCCTGGAGTTTAAAACATTTAAATTGACTTGATGTGTTAGTCAATTGTCATTTAGATCTCTGTGTATCTTTGATCCTGCACAAACCCTTAGTTCAAAGACAAAGTTTAGGGGTTGGATAGAAAGCTTGGCAGCTAAGAGCTAGATGCTTCTCTAGAAGAGCAGTGTTTAAGTGCCAGCACACTTATGATGTGTCCCAACCCCTGGAACTGGAGGGGCATCAGAGGCCCTCTTTCGGTCTCCATGGGCACTGCATGTATATGCAAGCAAAACAGTTATGCACGTTAATATAAAATAAAGATTTAAGTCACTTGATGGCAGACCTCAGTGACCTACCAGATGAGCTACTATTCAGTTTGGGGAGGGGAGGAGGAAAAAACAAAGGCTATGTCCTAACTGGATGTGTTGGCCTCGGCTGTCCCAGGCCAGTATCTTTACCAAGGCAGAGTCTAGTCTCAGGAAATAAAAATGCAGGGTCTCTGTTACCCCTTCTAGTCTGAAATTCTGCGAATGACAAGTCTTTATATAAGAGCCACAGCAAGGATACTCTGGGATGAAATAGTTAAATGAGCTGGGCAGTGGTGGTGAACGCCTTTAATCCAACAGAGGCAGGCGGATCTCTGAGTTTGAGGCCAGCCTGGTCTGCATAGTGAGGTCCAGGACAGTTAAGGCTACACACACACACACACACACACACACACACACAAACCCTGTCTCAAAAAACCAAAAGAGGGAAAGGAAAGACAAACAGCTATAACTCAGTGGGCGCAGTACTCCCCGGTAAGCCCTGAGTTCAAGTTTCAGCACAGAAAGGTAAGCATGGTGCCAAATGCCTGTAATCCCAGCACCCAGGGTACTGGCAGAACGATCAGAAGTTCGAAGACACACACATGGAGTCATCAAGCTAATTTCTGAGGCCTTAGACTTCATCCCATCAGACACCAGGTTCAAGGATTGGCCAAAATGAAGTTGTAGATATCCTTCATAAGAGAGTCTCACAAAACACATCTGATGACCAAAAAGACGGATTGACTTGGTGAAGAACCTGGGAAAATAAATGAACACTGCCTTGGTCTAAAGGCGGAATGGTCCAGCCCAGGGCACCTCCTTCCAGCAAATCCTTTTGGATGGAGGGCATAGGATAAAGGCTGCCTGCCTAACAGTCCAAGTAATGAGGCATAAAGCAAACTGTAGTACAGGAGCCTAGTCTGGAAACAGCCCATTAGTGCACTCCTAGGTCAAGGCCGAAACTTCCCTCTTCAAACTGCTTCAGAGCTTTCTATTCGGGAAAGGAGAGGTGGTAGCAGAGAAATCACATCTCTGCAAGGATGCTAATCCACAACCAGAAAGCAATGGCAGGCAGATTGGCTGGAATGTCTGGAATGTTCCAGGAGGGGGGAGGGCAGGGCCACCCAACCAATGAAAGAAAGACATCCCAGCAGCCTTCCCTCACCCCCCTAGGGCACACACCCCACCCAGAGAACCCACTGTAGGCTTCTCCTAGGCTTCCTCTTCAGCAGAGCCCCCAGCCCTGATTAAAACAGGAGGGGATGGCCCGGAAGAGCCTAGGCATCCAAGGACCTTTGTCTTCTAAGTCTGGTTTTCCTCTGAGTGTGGGGCTATCTAATTCCTTTCAGGCCCAAAGTGCACAGGATAAAGCTGAGACCTGTAACCTGAATTCCCTTGCTTACATTACAAACCCCCTGTATAACTCATTATTTCCACAGAGGGGAGGCCGAGGTCGCTGGTTTAGGCTGGTGGGCTGAGTAGACTCTCAGATGTTCTCAACCTGTAAGTGGAGACCACTTTGGTGGATCTAACGACCCTTTTCACAGGGACTGCCTAGCAGCTTTAACAGTAGCAAAATTACAGCTATGAAGCGGCAAAAAAAAATAATAATAATTTTAAGGTTGGGGTCACCACAACATGAGGAACCATATTAAAGGGTCAGAGCTAGGAAAACTGAGAACCATTGGCCTAGAAGAAGTTCCTACCTGATGTATCCATCAGGTTATGAGCACAACCAACTCCTACTTCACATTGGTTTCTCCTGGTTTCTAACTCTAATAAAACCCTTGTTAGTACTTGAGAGGAGACCAGAAGGCGAGGTGGACAAGCACCACTTGGTGGGAGAGACAGTATTTAAATTCGTTCACAATAATCTTATAAAATGGGCACTGCCTATGAGCCCCACTAACTCCTTCACCACTGCTTGCCTAACCAACAACCCTGCTCCAATAGACCGGGTGGAGCAGTGTTTGTGCATCACAGGTAAAAAGGCACCACACACACACCCCGAAGCACCAAGTCCCATTCCAGCAAGGAGAACTGGGAGAAACTCAGTAACTGCCCCAAGAATACGAACTGCCAGCAATGGCCATTAAAGGCAATGGTTACACCAGCAAAAAAACAAAACAAAAACAAAACAAAAACGCTTCCTAGGTGCCAATAGCCCATGGCTTTCAGGTCCTCTGCCTGCTCTAACAGAGCCAGGAACCCAGCACTGGAGGGCAGCTCAATGGGCACGTGGAAATTAGGAAAATTCACCTCTAGCGTGCTGCCAAGCCATCCTGGGGATGTGAGGACCAGCCAGGGGAGCAGGTCAGGGAGACTCAGAAGCTTCAGACAGAAGAATGTACCAGAACACCCACACAGCACAGGCTATTTATTGGTGGCTTGTCTGACAACCCAGAACATGAGATTAAAGAGGTTTAAGGAAAATCTTGTCCACATTTCATAAACATTCTATTTTGTGTGGGTTTTGTTGTTGTTGCTGCTGCTTGTTTGTGTTTTCTGATTTTGAGACAGAGTTTCTCTGTGTAGCCCCGCTGTCCTGGAACTCACTTGGTAGACTATAGGCTGTCCTCAAGTTCAGATTTGCTTGCCTGCTTTATGGATTCTAGGCAAGCACTCCACTGAGTTATACCCAGTCTTATCTATCCCTCCTCATGTGAGTCTCACTCTGTAGCCCAGGCTAGCTTCCAATTTAGAGCAATCTCCCTGCCTCAGCCTCACTTACAGTCCTGAGCGACTATACTATGCTTGTTGTTAATGATATATGAACTGTAGAGTTTGTGTTATGTGTATGAGTCTAGCAGTATGTAAGTGCACCACCGCGGGGGGGAGGGCGCAGCTACCTTGGAACTGGCTGTAAGCAGTCATGGGGACTCTGGGAATTGAACCTGAGTCCTCTGGATAAGCAATCAGTGGCCTTAGCTGCGGAACCATCTCCCCAGCCCCAGTTATGAAGTCCTTATTCCCTGCAAAAGTGCCCCTTTCACCCCCACACCCAGAGTGGAAGGTGCCCCCTGCAATCAAGTCAATGGCTTGTCCTCCCTAGGGTTAAGGAGTTCCCTTAAACCAAGGCAGAAGTTGGATGGAGGAGGGGATGGTGGTGGCCACAGCAGCGTTTCTCTGAATCTCAAACAACTGCAGAGGCCCCAGTCTTGAATCAGGCTTGAAGTTTCATCTCCTTCAAAACCAAGATTAAACCAGACCTCCAAACCTACCCCACCCCAAGATCAAGCTCTGCTTTCACCTGTGGTCTCACCTCAACCTTCAGCTCTCTGGTGACCAGT